CATTCCCTAAATGCGCTGTTGGCTGAAATAGCCAGGCAGAGTTTTACAGAGACTACCATGTATTATCCAAATATCATGTGAAGAAAAGTGAGACATATAACTAACCCCAAGCTCACATGAGAACCCCTCCCTTTTACCCTTATCAGTCAGGTTCAAATTTAATTCCAACACAGAGTGTCACTGCAAATTGTTTATTAAAACACAAAGCAATGGACAGTGAAAAACATCCTGATTTTTTACTTTTTGGTGGGAGTGGGGGTGAGGGTGAGGCGGGGGGTAATGGTAGGGGTAGGGATAGATGGAGTCGACAGCTCTATCCACCCCTACACTGTTTTCCCCGGCCAGCCAGGTTCAAAGCCCTCCATCCCCTCTCGTTGTGCCGCTGCTGTAAAATGCATGTTGTGCCTAAAAAGAGTTGGTTTGGCCTCGGCAGGCAGAAGATGGGAAAGTAGAATAGGAGCTACAAGAACTAGGAAGAACTTGACCCTTTCTCCAATACTTAGTACAGAACAGGGAGCCAGGCCCAAAGTGGAGGACCAGGCTTGGCTGTCTGACAAGGCAGGTCAGGCCTAGAAAGGTTGAAGAGACTGCCCTGAGCTCTGAATGGGCAGCTGCTCTTAGCTTGGGAGAACCTAGTAGAAGGAAAAGGTAACATTCCTTACATCCAACGAGGGAACTGATCCAGGGTCAAATTTCTTTTCATTCCCTGGATCACAATACACCAGGGAACAGAGGAGTCAAGGATGTCTCTTTCCTCGTTTTGTTGTGATGTCTCTCCCTGCCAATTCTCCCCACCCACCTGGCAACTCAGTTCTCCTTTCCCGACAGTTGTCCTTTAAAAGGACGGAAAGCACTTGAGTTTGTTGTTGTTTTTCCTCAGACTGAAATAAAGCACCAAGGCTCAAAATAGAGGTGAGAAGAGAGTCCTGCTTTTCCTGGTGCGATGGGCCCCACCTCACAAGACTGTCTGATGTGAGAGGTGCCCAGGCCCTCTCTGCCAACTCTCACAGGCACTATCGTTTCTCTGGCTGCCAGCAAAATCCTGCCTTCTTGTTCTCACGCTGGTGGGGGGATGCCGTCCCGAGAGACCCAGCCTGCACTTTCCCTGCCAACCCAGGCAGTCCCCAAACCACCTGCTCTGGTCAAGATGATTCGGCCACCTGAAGCAGGCCAGCCCAGAGGGACAGGGAAAACACCCACCGTTGCTGGGAATCTCACACACTATCTGGCCTGTAGCAAAGCTGAGGACACCAAGCCCTCTTGCCTCAGTTAGCGTCTCAATACACAGTCCTCGTTTGGAATGTAAGGAAAACGTTGCTTAGATTTCTAGACACTTGGACGTTAAGACATAATTTGCCATTTTCTTAGAGCTCTTTGATCTCTATCTTTCTAGAGAAGAGAAGCAGGTCTCCCCCACCCCATGGGAGATTTCCACACACAGATCCTGGATCTTTCTGGGTCTACTTGGGTGACTATCACCACCCTGGTCTCTCTTCCTAAGGGCCACAGCAGCAGGAGGCCCAACACACGGTTCCATTTTCTTCTTTGTAAAAGCAGGAGCATGCATTAGTCTCTCACTTTGGAAAGCTCACCTACTCTCCCGGGTCCTTTTGGATCTTGGCAAAAGAGAGGCACATCATACATGTTCCCGCTTGATGCCATTAAGGCGCCTTGAGGCAAGAAGACACTTGAATTACGTCAGAGCTGGCCAGTGGTGGAGAGGGGGAGGGAAGGAGGGGAGCAGTCCTATGACAGGACTTAAGGACCCCTGCCCAGACCTGAATCTAGAGGGAATGCCCACCCTGGCTCAGAGCAGGAGAGGAAAAGGCACTATGGTGCCCGGGAGGGTCCTTCCCCTGGGCTTCCCAGGCAGAGTGGACTTCAAGGGGAAGGAATATTATGTGCCAGGAAAGGGAAGACACTACTGCTGTTTCCTGAAGTTTGGCTAAGAGTCTACAAGCCTTGGCCCAGGAGAGGTGACAGGCAGGCTAAGGAGGAAGAGAAAAGGAGGAAGAGAAATTCCTTAAAACAGAAGCTTCTCCTAACAGACAAGGAAGTTGACCCATAATTTGAAAACTGGATCAAACTGTTCCCAGGCTCAGAGAAGAGTAGGTAAGCTTCACTGCACATCAACCCATCTTATCAGAGCCTAGGTAACTGCAATTTCAGGCCAGTATCTCTTAGGCAAACAGTAGGAACAAGAGATTAAGATGCCCTCCAGGGCTGGAGTCTCTAGACCACTGAGAAACGTTGATGGCTGTCTTTGTCAGAGTTTGGGTAGCCTTGGAGTGGCTCCTCCCTAACCTTGGAGATTTAGCTCAAAAAATGGGTTCAGGTTGAGGAGTCAGTCATGAGCCTCCCAGGCAACTTCCTGACCCCAATCAGAGCGAGCTGCGAGCCTTAGTTCATCTCCAGCATATCTTCTCAGGCGCCACCCAGAGACAGAACTGAAGCCCCACTTCTGTTGGAGGAGTCTAGCTCTAAAAGCCTAGGATAGACTGGGGATCTGGTTGAAGTGCCCCACCTCCCCACCCCTTCTGCCAGCCCTCACTCCTCACCTCCCCAGCCCCAGGCACATGCCCTAGCTGGAAAAAGCAACAGATGAACAACAGGGTAATTCTCGACACACATAATACAAAAATAAAAATAAAGAGTGCCCTATCCCACCCCTTTAACCACTTCATGTACCTATATAGTCTTGGAGGAGGGAAAAAAAAAATATTTCAAGTTCAGCATCATGAGCCAGTCCTGGGCAGCTCTTGTTAGCTAGGTGGGCTTGGCTCCAGGGGACTCTGCCCCAGCCCCCACTAGGCTTCTTCCGTTTCCTCACCTCCCCTTTAGTTTGTTAGCCATAGGAAGCGATTCCTTCCTTTGAATACAACCAGAGAGGAAAGTGCCCATCCCCATTCCTGAGTCAGGGGGGAGGGGGGCTTGGAAACAAGAGGCAGAAGCAAAGCTGCTTGGCTTACAGTACCATTAGGATACGGCCCCAGGAGCCAGGGTTTTCTTCCGAGACTCTGTGTCTCAGAGGAGTGAGGTGAGGAAGCAGGGGCCCCTCCTTCCTCAGAGAGACCCAGCCACACTACAAACAAGGCAAAATGGAGGCAAGTCCTTCCTCATTTGTCTACGCCATTGGCAGTGGTACAGAGCTTTGGGGAGCTGTGATGGAAAGGGAACCAAAGCCACTGTCAGAGCCCATTACATAGTCAGGATGTCCACTGCCCCAGGACCAGAGCTATAGGACTCCATTGTTTAGAAGTTTTCCAAAGCACTCCCAAAAGGTTCCTTTGACTGCGCTGTAGGTCACAGCTGGCCAGCTGCCTGACTCAATACCCAAGTCCTGGGGCCCAAGTTACAGCTCAAAGAAAGGGTTACCACTCTCCAAGCACCAAACACTGGCTGGGAGTAACTTGTTAAGAGTCAAAAACCAGGACATGGACTGCCCAAGAGCTATCTAGTTTGTCACATAAAGAACAACACAAATATATGGACTTCTGCTATAGCCAATGAACACATCCAAGGCCAACTCAAAATGAACCGCTTTCTAGAAAGATGGGCCCGGCCTCAGATTTCCATGCCAATCCAACTGCCTCCCACACACAACATGCCTTGTAGCTTGCCTGAGGCCTTCCTTCGCTGTTACTGTCCTACTAGGAAACAGGTGACTGTGACAGCAAAGGACAGGAACAGGGATGCTTCGTTTCCTGCAGAAATCATTCCCAGGAATTAAAAGACAGACGCTCAGATGCTGCAGTTGAGCCCAGAGTTGCCAGGAACATGGCTACCTGGGAACTCTTCACCTGGCTGCTACTTGGGGAAGGGAGTGAAAGGGCAGAGGGCATGCTATGTAAGGCAGCCAGAAGCTCACCTGAGCCTCGCTTAGAATCTGTCTAGTTCCTTGGGGCAGCTCTAGACAAACCAAAAACTGGTGGAAGTGGGTCAGAAATGTGTCTGTGATATAGAAGGACACAGGAATAAATGAACATCAGATATGAGACCTGCTAACAGTGGTCAGTCACTTCATAGGGCTCAAGTCTCTGAGGTTGCTCTTAAGTTATGCTAATTATAAGCCTTTTCCAATCCAAAGACCAGAAGAGACTTTAAGGTCAAGAGTCCAGTGGCTGCAGGTTGGAAAGCATCCCTGCCCCCTGGCAGCAAGACCCTACAAAGGGGCCAGTCCAAGAACTGCCCGCATAGAGACCCAGGGAGGGAGGTACCGACAAGATGAGGTGCTAGAGGGTAAGACATTCAAGCTGAAGGAATTTCAAGTCCCCATGTCTCCTTCCAACTTGGCAATAAGTTACTGGGCTGGTTGAGAGAAGAAGAAATTGCAAATGAGCCAGATTAACCAAAAAGAGAAAGAGAGGAAATCAAGTCCCCAACAGGCACTAAAATTAAAATGATTTGTTGTGAAACAAGGTAGAGGCAACTTGAGGATCTGACATAAATGAATCGTCTTGGATACCAGACAGTCCTCTAATTGGCACACGTCAGGGAGACAAGCAATGGCTAAGCTCAAACACTGAAGGTGGAACCACCATTGGATGACAGAGAGGCTGCCAAGGAAGAAAGCAGCTAACTTTTCTTATCCCTTTCCTTTGTCTTTGTGTCTTGACCTTACAACTTATACACCTCCACATACACACTCTCAATCCTAGGTCATCTGGAAATGGATTTGGACATAACTTCAGAATGCACCCCACTCCCAGCCTAGGTCTTCCCAGATAATAAGATGCCATTTCCTGGCTATTAATTTCTAATTCAAACAAGGGAACCACATCTGCTCTGAGTTCAGAGTCCTTTCCACTAGGCATACAGGCTGGGATCCTTGAACGGGAAGGATCCAGTTGGAGAGACAGCTGGGGGCCAGCCACAGAGAGGACTAGCACTGAAGCAGGTCTGGGACCAGGTGGTGGGGAGGGCTGCTCTCTACTCACTTGGCCTCTTTTTATCTCCTTTAATTTGTGTGTGTGTGTGTGTGTGTGTGTGTGTGGTTTTTGTTAATCATTGTGAAAAACACAGAAACCCAAACTAACATGTTTGGTTTCTTTCCCATACCCCTCCGCCCTGTTCAGGATGACCATTTGTTCTCACAGCCGGCAGAGGCAGAAGAGGGTTGGAATGAAGACTCCAAAGGCCACCAGGATGGGGAACATGAGGCTGCTGTTGTCCGAGGCATAGGGGTTGGGCGTGCGGGGGCCTGACTGCACCCGGTTCTTGTTGGACTGTCTTTTGAGATTCGACCCTTCATCATATTCTTCTTCTTCTTCTTCCTCTTCTTTCTTTTCCAATCCTGGATGAGGCTGCAGCTTTGGTACATCTGACAAAAGAAAGTAAACACTATCTAAGTCGACCCACAGCATTGAAATGAGACCCTTAAAAGCAGCCAACTCGTCACAGCACAGAGACTCCTGTAACCTAGCCAGGGTCCATGGGACAAAGCATAAATAACAGAACCAGCCTCTGAAACCCATCTTCTTTAGCTTTAGCTAAAAAGGAGTGAGAGCTCTGCCCACAGGAAGGCTTAATATTTCCTCTTCCTCTCTCCTTCTTTCAGAACCCTGAGAGGACCAGACTGGACAGAGACAACAACCTGACACCCAAAACGGAATCTTTTCAACTCACCTCTTTCCCATTACTCCACAGTTGCTATTTTTGGTTTTACTTTAAATAATATTTTCTTATGCTAAAGGTCAAAGTTGACACAGCAAATTAGATTCCCATTGGACAATTTCTACCCAAATGGTTTCATGATATTGATGACATTTTCTACAAAGTGTCATCATCTCATTCATTCTGTTTTGGTTGTACCATTTCCTGCACTCTAGTTTCTCTGCCCTCTTACTTTCTCATTCCACACTCCCTTTTGATCCACTGAACCGTTGCTGATCTGAACCAGATCTGAACCACAGAGGTCTAGGTTCTGAGCACATACAATGTCTCTGCCCTACCTCCTCCATGGGAACCACAGCACAGATCTGTGTGAAAGCAGGACACTGTGAGAGCCAGTCTATCAACCCCACAGGGTGAAGTTCTCAGCACAGTCAGAACAAGAAGGAGAAAGGCATAGGAGGAGGGTCAGGGAGAAAAGTTGTTAAGACACATTTTCTCTAAAAAATATCAGCCTGAAGCAGACAGCCACAAAAATCTGAACTGTGGTAAGAAAAATTATCACCTAAGTCTGGATACCAAGGACAAGGAGACACTACTACGTAACCTTTGTCTCAGCAATGCTGCCAACTCTCAGATCCTACCCAAACTTAAAGGTCTCCTCCTCCTCCTTGCCTTTTCCTCTTTGCCCCCAAGAAATAGCTGTCACAGAAACAGAGTAAGGACATGTTTTAGGAGATTCCAGAGGATTACAAGGTCAGCGTATACCAACAGGTATCCTCATTAGTCCACCTGGACTGGGGTTAAGGAATCTGCGCCTGGGACAGGATAGCTGATTAAACGGCAGCAGCAGCAACACGGGGACACAGGTCAGAGCTGGTGGCTGGCAGCTAGTACCAGGCTGTACTTCATCCCCATCAGCCTTTGAACTCCCCACAATTTGGCTTCCAAATTGTTGTTATGTGCCATGGAGTCGGTTCCAACTCATAGTGACCCTACACAGGGGTTCTGAGGTTGTAAATCGTTACAGGAGCAGAAAGCCTCATCTTTCTCCCACGGAACAGCTGGTCGTTTCGAACCACTGACCGTGAGATCAGTAGCCCAATTCATAACCACTATGCTACCAGAGCTCCTCCCAACCACATCCTTCTGCCCAAGTCATAAAAGCAGGTCAAAACAAAGACTTACCATCTATCGTCCCAGCCATGATATAGAGCGCACAGACTTTGGGATTGTCATAGTACCCCTAGGAAATGGGAAACAGTGGTCAGGAAACGCTTTGCATGCACCCACTCTCTAAGTCCTTCTCCTTGGTAGGGAGGAGGGCAGGGCGGGGGTGTGGAAGTGGGGGCATTACCTTGACAAACTCAATGGAGAGTTTCCCTGTGAAGGTGGATACCTCCCCCTGGACACTCAACTTCCCCTTTCTGATGCTCATGGGGATGATCTCATCATGAGCTGTGCTGTGCCCAACGCGGTCAAAGATGTCCAAGTCCTTCACCACCACGTGGCCATTCAAGCGCACATCAAACACCTTTCAGGAATAGAAAAGGACAGAATGTCACAAACCATCTATATTACATCCTGTTAGCAGTTGGACATCATGCATATATCTGGGTTTCCAGTTCAAAATATATTTAAGAAACCACTGGGCCAGAGACACCCCAGCATGGCTACGACTCTCCGTGAGCTAAGTCAAACCCCTTCAATGTCACAGAGCTCTAGTCCTGGCCTTAAGGGGCAAAGAACACACACACAAAAACTCAGAGTGAAAAGGAAGGAATTCACAAAAAGGGACAGAAGAAAAGAATAAAGCCAAAAAGAAGAAAGGTGTTAAAATCCCAAAATGGGAAGGGGTGTCCAGGGCCAGTTGATGACCAAGAACTAGGATTCTGCCATTGCCTTCTGTCACCACACTCCAAGGTAACCTCATGGACAAAGGGACATAGTTTCTCTGAGGGCAGAAAGTAGTAGCTTCTCCTCAAAGCTCGTTCGTTCCTCACTTCTGAACTGACTCTTACAAGCGATGGCCTAAAGCAGAGGACTATTGAGGTGGCAGGGGGCCTGACCAGGTCTCACCTTCTGCTGAGACTGTGCAAAGTAGACCTCAGCGAATTTCAACACCAGGACATAGTCCCCCTCCTCCTTGATGGGTACTTCATAGCCAAAGGTCTCCTCATTGTACCTCTCGGTTTGATACAGGATCTGGTCCTCGGGGTTGGAGCGCAGGATTGGCAGTTTCATGCCATAGTCTGAGGCTAGGGACAAAAGACAAAGAGAAACCACATCAGAGGCAAGACACAAAAGAAAAGCAGAGAACCCCGAACCACCAGAGGCATTTCCGGGGTAAAGCTACTAACCCTCTCAGTGCAAGGGGCCACCCTCTCTGCACCTGGCTCCAAACAGACCAGACAAAGGGCACAGAGGCCATTACCAGGGAGAGGAACATGAAAGAGATCTCGCACTAGTTGCCTGTTGAGGCAAAACTTTTTTTGAAAGCATTTGACTTTCCCAAGTTTGTGGAGAGGGATGACAGGAGAACAATCTACCTCATTCTTAAAAAAAGTGCGGCGCTGCCAACTGCCTGGTTCCCGAGAGCAGCCTCATCAAATTAGGGCAATGGTCAGGAACTATATACAAGATGACCAGGCTCAGAGAGTGGATTCTTCCCATTCCCAGAGTCTTTAACACACAGGCCATCTGGTTAGAAAGTCTTCCTTCATTGTCTTAACTACAAATAAGATACTGACTTTAGTTCCTTTTTTCTAGTTTTCTTTCAGAAAGCTCCAAGGCTAGGCAAGAGCGTGATGGTCATAACAGGTAGGAGACTCTCTAGTGTCCTTTAGATCCCAGCATCTTAGTCCTCAGATTCACAGAAACTCCACCTCACCGTCTGTCTGGAACATTCTCCCAGTTACAGCAAAAGAAGAAAGCATTCCTACTGTATCTCTAACACCTGGCACAGTGCCTGGCACATAGATGGCACTCAATAGTATTTGCTGAACAAACAAATGGCACTAAGAGAGGTATTGGCCAAGCTGGGAAACCATGCTCTCTCCACAGGCTACAGTCCTGTAGCAGGGAGGGGCTTAAAGATGCTCCCAGGGGGCCCCCTTTCCCAGTTCACAGGTCAACAAGGTCTAAGGCAAGGCCACAGCAAAGAGGCACTTCCCTGTGGGTCAGTATCACAACAGCCAAAAGTCTCTACTGCCTCCCTCTCCCCAAAACTTTGTAAGAAACCAGACTGTATGCAGGCTTCCCTCACTTTAACAAACTCCACTGGAGTATGTTCTCAAATGTCAGACACCACAGGCCAATGCCAGAGAGGAACGGCGCTACTTTGTGCTTGGGAAAGGGGACTCGTAACCCTTTCTCCCATCAACACAAGGCTTTCCAGTGCTCTATCAATCTGCTTCCCAAACCAGACTCAGCTGGGATCTCCCTATACAGACTGGCGCCTGCTCCACACTGGAATTAAGACATCCAGAGTGCCTCCAAAATCATGTGGCAATTCTGAAGACATCTAGCACCTAGCTCTTTAGGAGACACCCAAGAGCAATCACCTTGCGAGCTTTACCTTCAGAATCACTGAAACTCAAAGGGATAGGGCAGAGTCACTAAAAGACCCAGCGGCTGAGCTCTATCTACCCCTACAGGAATAGAAGCCTAACTGTTAACCGGTCCCATAAACCCACACTGTGGCCACAAGATCAGACAGACTGATGAGACAACAGGACAGGAAACGCACTACATTTAGTTTTAAGACTTCTTCTTCCTATTTCTCCTCCAGAAAACAAATCCAAGGAGGGCAACTCAGCAGCACTACAAAGGCTGTGCGGCCAACAAGCTCCAGCTCTTTCCCAGGCTCAGAAAAGACCATCACCCTGGGGCACAAACTGATAAAGAGTAAAGGGCTGCTATTTCTCTTCCAACTGAGCTCCAAGAATTTCCTTCTTCCACGAGGATCATGACCTGTACAAATTTGGAACATTCACTGGATTTGATTTATATACACACACAAAGTTTGGTGTGTGTGTGTGTAATCTTTTTCCTGCTGAGCGGAAAAAGTGAGAAATGGACAGTAATGTAATCCACGGCAGTCTGGGCTCCATTGCTCAGAGAGCTTCGCCCTGTGAACACAAAATGGTTTCACAACCTTGGAATTACCTTTAAACATTTTCCTTTTAAAACCCAAGCAGCTTTCCCAAGAGATGTGTCACATGCAGAGCTGAATTTGCCCATGCAGCAAGAGATGCAACAGCACCTAAAAGGATATTTTCCTGCCCCTCTTTGGCCTTTGCACATTCACTACTAAACAGATTCCTCCAAATTACAGTAAACTGCACCGTCAACACACTGCTAAAGTTGGGATGATAACACTCGGGCTGTTAACCAAAAGGGAAGGGGACCAATGGACCTATAGGGTGTCCACTGTCCCTTAGACTGCGACTATGGAGGAGCCAGGAGACTTGGAAAACAATCCCTAAGTTTTAAAGTAAGACAGGACTGAGGACTGGAGTTCAACTCCTGTTCTGTCTCCCCACTCAGTGATGATACGCAACGGGATTCCTCCAGATGTGTTTCTTACAGGAGTTGGGGTGAGGATCAAAAAACATCTGTGAACAGCTTCATGGAGCTCCTGTGTGGTGAACCAGTTAACACAATCAACTGTTACCTAAAGGTTGCTAGTTCAAGCTCACCCAGAGGCAACTTTTAAGAAAGGCCTGGAGAGCTACTTTTGATAAACCCACCACTTAAAACCCTAGGGAGCACAGTTCTACTGTGACACATGAGGCAGACTGCACTTCAGGGCAACTGGTCACCAAGTTCAACACAGTGCTTCCAAGAGACCCACACACATAGGAATGAGGGGGCTTCAAAAGTTCCTGGAAAAAATGAATGAAGAGATAATGGAATTCTTCCAGAAGTTTTGAAGCCCCCTCGGAAGTGTGCAGGCATAAGCCCCAAATAAATGTCTTCACCCCAGGAAGCTTAGGGATTGAAGCAAGCCAAAATGGAAGTCATAAAGACAGCTGGAGGGACAGACTGGGAAAGCAGGAAGGTGCAAGAACGTGCCCCACATGATACCACCCGCTACCCACCAGCCCAATGTTTGGCCTTACACACAACTACTGGATTATTTGGACTCACTTCTTGCTCAAGTGAGACCTTTCTGAATGAATGATTCTCCATGGACTGAGACAGGGAATTCAATGATCTGCATTCTCAACTTGTGGAATTCTGCTATTGGGAAGACCTGCAGGACAGCAACACACACGCACACACACAGCCCAAATCCACGCTATTGCGTCTCTTCTGACTCTGAGATCCTGTACAGGGTTTCCAAGGCTGTAAATCTACAGGAGCAGGCAGCCTCATCTTTCTTCCACACAGTAGCTAGAGGGTTTTGAACTGTCACTCTTGCAGTTAGCAGTCTAGTACTTACCCTACAGTGTCACACCAGGGCTACACATGTGACCATTGTTGTGCAGCTGGTGAATGTAAACTGGTGACCTAGGGATTCAAATTGACCTTGAGGTCCAGTACTTTATCCCAAAGCACCAAACCAAGACTCCACAGGGGACAGTGGTAGTGGTTGTTGTGTGCCATAGAGTCTGTTCTGACTCATAGCAACTGTATAGTGTTTCCAAGAAGCGGCTAGTAAGTTTGAACCATCGAGCTTGTGGTTCAAAGTGACCTTGCAGTCCAGCACATGAACCCACAGCGCCACAAGGACTCCAGTAGAGGGTGCGACTTCTAAACCATTCCTTTGGTGTTGGCTGTGTGCCGTACAGTCGGTTCTGACTCATAGCAGCCCTGTACTGGGTCTCTGAGGCTGTAAATCTTTTTACAGGAACAGATAGCCTCATCTTTCTCCCACGGAACAGCTGGTAGTTTCGAACTGCTGACCTTGTGGTTCGCAGCCCAATTTGTAACCACTACACTGCCAGAGCTCCTTTGGCCTTAAGCAAATCAGAAGGTGCCAGGACTTTCTTAACAACTCTCAAGCTCCTAGCTGCCAAGGCCACATTCTTCCCCAGTTGAAAGGAAGGCTGCCCAGGAAAGGTACTAGAGAGTTAGTAATCTCCGAGGCCAGGGCCCCCAGCCAGGGCTTTTCCCCTCTGGAACCATGTGCTGGCCTACTTTTAACTCAAGTGAAAGGTCATCATGTAAAAAAAAATATCAGAGACTTTAACCTGCTCCAGACAGAAGCTGAAGTTTTCAAAAGTCATGTCACCAACTTCAAAAGCATGACAAGTTTTACAGAGAAGGACAACAAGGCTCTGAGAGTTCAGTGGTTCTTCCAAGCGGAAAAACTGGCTAACAGGTACCTTTCTAGGAAGAGAGAGACTCCATAGGCCAAGACAAGGTCTTTGCCTTCAAGCTAAATAACAAGGTCGTTCTCCAGTCCATCAGTGAACCCCAGAGGGCTGCCAGGTAAGCGCTTCCGGCCTACTTTCTGTAGTGGTGCTTCCGTAGGTGGTTTGAAGAGCTATTCTACTCCCTGGTCTGCAGCATATTCAATCGTATTGAAATACAATTCAACAAGTGTTAATAAGTGCCTATGAAAGCAGGAGCCATTAGGTGCCCAGGGAGCCCCCACATTCCCAAGAAACCCGAAATTGACAAAGAACTACAGAGAAACAGCAAGTTCAAAAGCAGGTCAAAACCTTATCAAGCCTAACTTGGCAACAATTACCTGAATTCATTCAACATGAAATGAATTTTCCTCGGGGCATGCTACAAATAATATGGGCATGGGGGTGGTGCTGGGGAGACACACAGCTCCTATTGCAGTTACTGTGAACAGCTGCAAGAAGCCAGGGTCTCCTTAGCAGCATCTCAGCCCCAGGCCTGTTGTTGGGTGCTGTGGAGTTGACTCCCACTCATGACAGAGTAAAACGGACCCATAACGTGTCCAAGGCAGAACATTCACAGGAACAGATTGCCAGGTCGTTCTCCAGTGGATAGGCTGAGCAGACTCAAACTCACAGCCTTTCAGTTAGCAACAGATTGCTTAACTGTTGCACCACCAAGTTTCCTTGACCTGCAAAATGCTACTTTCAAGAACCTGGTATGTGCAATTTTGTAACAAACAGACCAGCTTCCTGGCTGCACCTGACAACCACCCCCATTCATGCCTTAATTCTGCTACAATTCATACCAGACTGGCAGGCAGCGAGGAGCAGGAGCCTCCATTTCCGCATCCACACTGAGGCTAGTGTCCAAGATAAGAGTCCAGTCTCCAGGATCCTCGTGTAACCCGTACCTGCTACAACAAACTCCTCCCAACCAAGTACAACCATAAGCCAGGAACTCAAGGGCAGAGAACCTAGCTGCTTGCTGAAAAAACCTTGCTCCAGCAAATTAAAACCCGAATCCTTTCTGATTATGTGCAGTACCTGGGGACTAAAGCAGAATGTTCGTCAGCTTTAGCCTCTGCACAGTGAAAACATGCAAAGCCTACCAAGTGCTAACTGAAAGGAGCCGGCTATCTGCACATCCTCTTCACCTCCCCTATCTCAACAGGCAAAGTCCACAAACTGCCTGAGATTCCTCCACGGCTCCTTCCTCCCTGCAGCACCTCACGGGGAAAGAGGAAGGGTCCAGGATGAAGATAGTAATGGTCTCCTGCTGCAAAGCAGGCCTCAGGGCCCTGACTCAGCTTCACCCATGCTATTGTGACCTACTTGCCAAGGCTAACCAATCTTCAGAACAAAAGGAACCTCAGAAAACTGCCCTGCTGTCCCCTGACTGTCACAGGTATAAACGTGATCCGTTCTCGAACAAACTAGGGCACTGCAGTTAACCTGGAAGAACTCAGGAGGCAACCTATGTTCTGTAAAAGGCAATACCCAAACCCAGGAAGACCCATACAGGAATCTCCCAGTTGATCAGAAGTGAGAATAGTGCCAATTTAACAAACCGATGAACCTAACCCCAAACCCAAGACTGCAATCATTACAGAAGCAGACAGCCTCATCTTTCTTCCATGGACTGTGGCTGGTGGGTTCCAACCAATGATCTTCTGGTTAGCAGCCAAGTGCTTTCACCACCATACCACCAGGATGTGCCACCCAACCCACCCCCCAAAAGAAACAAACACCATTGTCCTCAAATCGATTCTGACTCAGTGACCCAATAATAGAGCAGAGTAGAACCTCCCCTACCCCAACTGGGTTCCCAAGGTTGAAAATCTTTATGCAAGTAGCTTGCCACATCTTTCTCCCACAGAGCATGAGGTTGGTTTGAACCATCCACCTTACCTTTGCGTTGGCTACCAGTCAAGCACTTTACCCCCCACCCCGCACCATCAAAGAATGGTTTGGGGCTGGGGTACCACCCTATCAGAAGCCTGTGTCCCAAGAACAGAACTTCATCCTTTTGGTCCAGAGTGCGGCCGGGAATCTGCATTTCTGCAACGTACTTCCCCATGTGCGGCCCTGTACCAATGACTGGTCCCCAACTAGTCAACTCCAGACGGTTTCCCAGCAGCAGGGTTCAGCCTTTGCAGGCCCGCTGGGGACGGGTTCTATGAACTTTCCCAGGCAGAATATCCCCACCTTAAGCCCGTCTCGCAGGCAGGAGGTCTTCAAGGTAACCCCTTTTGGGGAGAGGCCACTGGCTTCGACTGTGAAGCATTAATAGAGTACTCCTGACTCCAGAAAGGAATGGGGAGGGGAGGAGGCGACAAGAAAACTTTCCTGGCCTCCTTCTTCTAAGATTCCTTTCTGTTCTGGCTAATAGTCTGGCTAAGAGTCAGGCGGAGATGGGAAAGTGGCCGCATTCTGGGTCGCCTGGAATCTGGATGAAAGGGCAGAATCGCCTAGGGCAGGAGGATCAATAACCTACAACCTAGGTAGCAATAAGTGCCCCCCATTGGACTTTCCCAGCTGGGGGTGGGAAGGGAGGCATGAAGGGTGGTGAAAATGCAGGATGCGAGTTCCCAAAATAACTTCTCACAACTCTGCCTCGATGGGCGCTCAGTAGCTTCGAGAGGGTGCCAGGTCCAGGGCCTGAAGGACGGAGGGAAACTTCGCTGGGAAACGTGGTCGAGGAAGGGGGTCGCGGCCCGCAGCCCTCGGTGCCCAGCACCCGCAGGCCCTCTCGGCAGAGGGGCTCTCACCTCGGCCCACCCGGCCTTCCAAGGGGTCCTTGCGGAAGTGGATCCCGTGCACATCCACATGCGCTTCGCCGCCAGCATTGACCGCCCAAATGACGCTCTCCGGCAGCCCGGCCCCCACTGCGCCGGCCACGCCGAGCCCAGGTCCCCGGAGCGCCGGCAGCAGCAGCAGCAGCAACAGTCGCAGGAGCGTCACGGCGGCTCCCTCAACCGCCCAAGTCTCCAGCATGGCGGGCACCACCGCGGGGGCAGCCCCCGCCGACCCTCGTCCCCGGCCGGCCACCAGGCCACCCTGGACTCAGAAAAACAGCGCCACGGGCAGCTCTGCCTCAGCGGCCGGGGGCATGTCGCTCCCAGGCCTCCCTCTCCACAGCCAAGGTGCCACCTCCCACCTCAGGTACAACCTACCCCACCGCCCAGCCCCCGGCCACTACTCTGCAACCAATCGGCGTCCAGCCCTCATTAATTACCCACCACCCTGTCGGGTGCCGCCCTCCCATTGGCTGCCAGGCGCGGGAGGAGGTGTGGCTACTCCCAGGCGCAGGCCCAACCATCAGGCCTGAGTTGGAGCGCGAGCAGAGGGAGGGAGTTCGGTTGAAGCGGCGGTTCGACGCGGAAGTGGTGGGGTGCAGTGGCCAGGCGGCCCCGGAATCCTGCAACTAAATGGGAAAGGTGGCCTGGGGGGGAAGGTTTAGGGTAGGGCGCACTGACACGTCGCCAGCACTTCCGGTGCTTCAAACATGGGACCAAATAAGCTCCAGAGGGGGCGTTGCTGGCTTTCCCGCCCCCTCATCCTTTTTCGGAGACAGGCATGATCAGAGCTCTAATAGGAAAAGCATTGGACATTATCCTGACCCGACGGACTTATTCCCTTTCCCTCTGTGAAGCAGAAAACCCAACGCTCCCAGAGAGGCAAAGTTCACAGAGCCTGGGGTCCGAGTCCCATGAGGATAAGGCCCCGCCTTCACCCCTTAGCAGACTCGGGGCTGGTGGTAGCGTCCAAACAGGAGTCCAATCAGAAGACTACAACGCAGCGGAAATGCGTGGCCTTTTGGGGGAGGAGCTCCAGGGTGTCTATGTTTCCATGGCGACGGCCTCCCATCTGGCCTCTGCTACGAAGTTGGGACTTCCCCCAGCTTCCCCGGCCCAGTCTAGGAAACCCTGTATTGGGCTCAGTCATGACCCAAGCTGCATCTTTGTCCTTTGGTTGTTCATTTAATGCTCTTATGCATTGGCGATTCCTGTGCTGGGTGGGTGCCCAAACTCCCATTTTACAGAAGGGGAAACCGAGGCCCAAAGAAGGGTAGGGCCTGGCCTGACGGTCAGACCACGACCATGAGTTTAAAGACAAAAGGCCATTTAGACATTTGTTCAACAAATAACTGTATTTCTCAAGTTTCTACTGCTAGAGTTAAGGAGCCCTGGTGATAAGGTGGGTTGGGCTGCTGACCACAAGATCAGCAGTTGTACTAGGGATGCCAGATTTGGCAAATAATATGCAGCCGGTTGAGTTAAATTTGAATTTCTGATAAGCCAGTGGGAACTTTGTTGTTGTTGTTATGTGCCGTGGAACTAGTTGTACTAAAAAAAATTCACTGTTTACTCGAAATTCTAATTTAACTGGTCTTTCTTGTACAAGGAGGTTTCCAAACGTGGAGAAATGGACTTAAAAGATACAGGAATTGTTCCTCGTATTTTTGAAGCTTCTAGTATTTCACCTGAGGAGCAGTAGAAATTGACTCAGTGGCAGTGAACTTTGTACAGCGTCAACAAAATATACTTCGAACTCCTGTCAGGAGTGTGTCAGTCTGTCAGAACAATTCACTATCCAATCAATTAGTTAAAAACAGTCTGCTGTTTTTGACAACTGCTCTATTTTAATTTGGAAATGGAGTATGGGTGGGGGATTTCAGTACACCAGGATTCTTTTCCCAGCACTTAAGGTCCCACCCCATGGTGTAGCTTTTGGAGGTGTCCCTTCTGACTCCATTTCTTTCCCCCTATCTTGCAAGCATCTGGTTTTACTTCCTTCTACAGATCTATTTCCTCTCTCAAGGCCTCTGGGGCATTGCATTGGAGTTTCTAATGTCACTTACATCTCTTTGAAACCAGACAAGTCAGAGCTTAAATAGCCAACGGACACAAGGTGTGGTGCCAGTGAGGGACACAGGTACAAAGAGGTGGTGTGGCTTTCTCCCTCCCAAACAACTGGCCAGTAGAGTCCCGTGTTGTTCCCACCATCCCCAAGATCTATCTATCTGTATATCCTCAAGGCAGTTTGGCCCAGAGGAAACCATTACAAAAATGAATTAAGCATTTTAGGACACCTCAAAGAACCTAACCTTATCTCTTAACTCTCAGATGTTCTGTCACTGCAGGGGGTGAACAAGAGGCCGGCAGGGTTTCTTTCAGAAGATAAACAAGGCTGGTAACCATCAAGGGGAAGATAAAGACAGCCTAAATATCCCGGTTTTTCTAAAGTGCTGTGTTGTTGTGAACGGATGTCAGTTCCGACTCATAGAAACCCTGTGTAGGGTTTCCGAGGAGCAGCTCGTAAGCTTGAACCACCAATTTTATGGTTCAAACTGACCTTGTAGTCCAGCACATTAACCCCCAGCGCCATAATCCCCAGTATCAACCTCTACTCCTCCCCTCAATATTCTTTGAGGATTCCTGAAATTTGATGCATTGTTTCACAGAACTCACGGTATGTCAAGGAAATGTCTCACAGTTAGGCTGGCAAGTCCCAAATCTGCAGTTTAGACATCAGTCTTCAGGAGTCTCTTCACCCATGCAGAGTCGGGCTGTTGACTTGCAAAACTGTGCAAGTTGACAGACCAGATCAGGCAGCTAACTCTGGTCCTGCGAAGAACCAGAGGTCCAAAGGAGGCGAGCTTGGTTAATCAAGCACAGTAACAAACATCGCTACAACGGCTTTCTTTTTACCCAGCAGGATGGCAAACTTGACCACACCTGTCATTAGATTTCCAAGTTTTAATCATCACAATTAACTGTTAACCGTCACACACACAACTGAACCATATCATCCCATCAACATCTTCTCTTAACCCAGATCCATCAGGAAAAAGTCATTTTGTGGGTGTCACAAAGACATGGTTCCTGGTAGTGGTTGTGTGCCGTCATCTCGGTTCTAACTCATGGAAATCCTGTATCAGGTTTTCAAGGCTGTAAATCTGTACAGGAACAGAAAGCCTCATCTTTCTCCCGTAGAGCAACTGGTACATTCCAACTGCTCACTTTGCAGTTAGAAGCCCAACTTGTAACCCAGAACACCGCCAGGGCTCCTTACAAATACCTGGCTAGAAATTGTTGTTAAATTGCTGATGAGTTGGTTCTGACCCACAGAGACCCTGTATAGGGTTCCAAGAAGCAGCTGGTGAGCTTGAATTGCCAACTTTGTGGTCCAGTGCATTCACCGTCAGCACAGCAGCAGGACATATTAAATAATTCACTGGCTCCTCCGAGTCCATTCTAGTTAGACTACCCTTGAACCCAGAAGGTTCCTTTTTTGAAACTTAGTTTCTCATGGATTAGGTTACCTCTTACTATAACATGGGAGTCCCTGGTTGGTACAAATGGTTAATATGTGTAGCTGATAACCAAAAGGTTATAGGTTCAAGTCCAATCACAGTTATCTTGAAAGAAAGGCCCGGACATCTACTTCAGGGAGAGAAAAAAAAACAAAACATCTCTTGGGAACCTCTTAGAGCACAGTTCTAATCTGATAGATTAGAACATGGGGTCAATATGAGTCAGAAAAAAAAACTGCCACAGAATGGCACATCAAGCAAAAGACCCGGAGACCCTGGAGGCAGGATGAATACTGCCCAACAGCCTGAGTTCCAACCTGGTTTAACTGTTCATTCCAGTTGTGGCCATGTTGTTGTTGTTGTTGTCAGGTGCCATCGAGTCGGAACCGACTCATAGTG